ATTTTCTAACTCGGAATTTAAGGTGCAGATCAGGAGTGTCTTTTTGTACAAACAGAATGATCGGGTATCTTAGCTGGGCCAAAAATTTTAAAAATCCCTATATATCTGCTAATAACACGGGATAAAAATGTATATTTTTTTTAAGTTTTACGGCTCAAGAATTATAATGTCATAAAATATATAATTTTGTATTTAGATAACACTGGACCCCGAGCTGTCTAATCTTTAGTAATATATATGTATAATATTTATCATCCAATTATTGTATACAATTCTGAGCTTCAAAATTCAACCTGTATGCAAACATAAAAAAATTACTAATAAACAAATTTTTATGAAAAACTTAAAAATGTTTTAACCCATTTTTTGGTCAACCAAACTTTTCCTAGTTTTTTCTGTGTAACTTTTAATTTTTATCAACTTATTTAATGACAATGAATTTAGTTAGGAAACTTTTGTAGCCCGGTGTAGGGAGGACTTGCTGATGCTGTTATTCCTGTTGTCCTAGGTCCTGTTCTTATTATTGTTTCTGTTGCTGTAATTCCGGCTGCCGTGTTGTGTGACTTGAAGCGTGGCACGGAGCAGCATGTAAACACAACCTCAAATTAAAATATGTTTGCTTATGCAGCATGTAGTGCAAACTGAACGGCAAACTATAACCGATGCCGGGCCGAAGTTCCCTTCCCGCACCGTCCCTCCGTCCTAGGCATAAATTAAAAGTTTGCAACATTTGCACGGAGCCAAAGTTTCGCTCGGCAAAAGCTAATTATGCATAAAGCTGCGGCCCTGACAAGGGGTTTATTTACCTTCTGGTCTGCTGCTATCCAAGTCGAAGCTGTTGCCACAGCCGCGGGAATCAGAAGCGGTAATCGAGGGCAGTCGTGGGTCGTCGGCGGTTGCGGAGCGGTATTATGACAGCTGCCCAACTGACTGACAGGCTGCGGTGAGAACGGCTGTCGGCGGCGGAAATTAAACGCCTCGATTTGCGTGCCCGTCACGCGTAAATCAGGTAACACGAGGGCCGCCGAGGCCGTTGGCCAACAAATTGATTAGAGCCCTTTAAGCCGAAGCATACATGGAAAAAACATAATTTTCAATCTCATATTAGCAGACCCAAGGCACAAAAGGTTCATTTTTATATTGAGAAAAGTCTTCATATTCTCTTTTATAGCAAATAAAAATATGTTCAAAATTATAAATTATATTTATAATTATTCCTTATTATTATTATTTTTAGCGCTTACGTTGCTCTATTATTTATTAATTTATTTACTGTACAAGAAAGAGGCGGTTTAAGTCATAACTACATACGTTGTTTTCGGGCCGGGATATAATTAGTATCTAATTATTAATTAGGTACATTTTATTAGGAGTATATTGATTCTTTGATTCCGAATGACTTGAAATCTGAGCAGTAACAAAATTGCTTAATGAATAAAAACGTTAAATGGTTTAATGGGGAAAATAAATAAGTAACTTTAACGATCTTCGCTGAAGGGATTTTCGTATAAATGACTTGAGAGAACAACTTAAGGGGCAGATAAAGAGGATGGTTTCCATTCCGGCTTGGAGCTGTTGTCTCATCAATCTGGGAAGTGTTGGCAGGCCGCTCATCATCATTCCCACCGGCTTCTGGGATTAATCCCGAGCTAGAAAACCGCCGAAATGGGCAATCGCAGTGGATGAGCTCGAAGACCTGGCCATCCGTTGATTTATGTGACACACATTAGGACGTCCGTCTGGTGCAAATTGAAAGGGGCCCGGCTTAGCTGCAACATATTGCCGCGTTTTATTATGCTTCGAAATTAACAATTTCAGCTGCCCGCAGCGGCAGTCGCATTCCATGTTAATGCACTTTATCGCCCCTGGCCAGTGGAAATTACTCAAAAAACGGCGCACAAATTGCAAACAGGGCGCGCATAAATTAATCGAAGCCTAGGCTAGCGAAATTAAAACATTAATCTGCCGCCCGGCCAAGCAGCATAATAATTAATGCTGGCTTAAATTTATTAATTTATTTATAAAGCCAAAAAGGGAGACCAAAAAGGTACTGAAAAAGAGGTGCGAATCGCAGACCGAATGCGCATTTCCGAGGATCCCGGGAAAACGGGTATAATGGAAGTCCAAGTGCCGTCCGGCAATAAAAACCAAAGACATCTCCAAATGGCCCGGGATGAAGTGGACAGCCATGGGGCAGCTTCCTTGGCTCCGCTGAGCTGTGCGCAGTTTTAAAAAATGTCAGTACGCCCTCCAGGGACAGATTAGCGATTAATCTACGGGGCATGGTCACATGCACGCCCTTCGGACTCCGCTGCTCGGACATCTGCCCCCTCCACTACATGCCCCCTTTGCCGGGCGGACGAGGTAACGATTAAAAAATCTCCACATAAAAGACTGAGCACTTAATCAAAGAGGATTTAGAGAGGAATAGGGCGACTGCAGAGGCCGGGACAAAAAGCCAAGGCAACCAGGGCCAAAAGCGTTGATGCGGCGCTTTGTTTCTAGCTGCTTCTCCTCGTAATGCATACCCTGATATCCAATTCGCGGCATTGCGGAATACTCAATCAATTGGACAATGAAAGAGTTACTAAAGAAAATCTTAAGTTGATAAATTAAATATTTCCCCTAGCTAAACCGCTTTCTATTTTCGTCAATCATGTGTATGTTTTTATCAAGTTTTATTCTATTTAAGGTCTAATTTTGATTTACTTTCAAAATTTTCTCTCACACAGCTTATGCCTAAAAGCTCTAACAAATTTACTGTATAATTTATATTACAGCCGAACGGAAAATAAATAAACAAATAACTACATTCTTAAAACCCTAGTTATTAAGTTTAAAAGTGTTTCTCTATCTTTTTTGAACAGGTAGCTAATTGCGAAAAGACAGACTGGCAGATGCTCGATAAGCAAACAGGTAGGTTAAGGTGTGTTTTTGCTTCAAGGGTGGTTTAGCCATTTTACCTTATATAAAGTAAGGTCAGTTTATTGATTTTTCTCAGTTGAAAACGAGCACTTGGCAGGTGTGAAGTGTTGATCCAGAAAAAGGGAGCGAACTTTCGCACAGGTAAGTGAAGTTTCTCTATCTTATAAGTAATAGTATACACAAGAAAACATTACAAAACAATAGAGTATCTCCCAGTCGCCTTTTCTTCGGCGGTAATCGCCTTACTTGGATTTTAACTACATATTACAAGCACTTTTATTTCGCTAAGCGTTGCTCATAGTTTTCGGTGCGCTTTTTCACTGCGATGCTCCCAGCATCCACCAGCCCCACCTCCTCCGCCACCGAGTCCCCTCTTGGAAGACCTTAAATAGTGGCAAAGACATCTCACAGACTTGGCCCGCTGCATTTGTCAATTTACTACGAGCTGAAAGGGGCGTGGTCGCGCATAAAAATGATATATGTGAGCGCTGAGTTAGCAATTTTCGTATGAATTGGCAGAGTTGCAGTTGCTGCTGCTGCTGCTGCTGTTCGCTTTATGAATTTCTTTATGGCCAACCTATAAAATATTTTGATTGCGCCCTGGTGTGTCAAGGAGGGTAGGGGGTGGAGCAGTTGAAATTAAATGCCTGCTGCTTGATTTGCTCGCTGGCTCTCAAGTGGATTCCTCGCAATCCGGCGGCCATGGCCACTCGACCACTGTCCACTTCAGTGCCGGCCTGCAATTATGGAAGAAAAACCGCAAAAGCGCTCCAAAGCCGGCCCAAACATTTGTTGGCCTTGGCAAGTGCTTTTCCCTGCGCAGCACCAGAATTTTGGCATTTCCCTGTAATCCTTTTGTGTGCTAATTGGAGCGTTGCCGGGCCATAATACCCACTCCCCACTTACCCACTACGACTGCAAATATCTGGCCTAAACAACCCGCATGGCGTCCCATTCAGGGCACCGAAATCGGCTTTGACCACTTGTCAGGGAACCAAATGTAAATATTAAATGGTGCTTTTTAATTGGATTTAGTTATGTGGATGCATGGCAGATCAGTTGGTTATTGGTTTCGTTCAGACAATACTTCCAGAATGTTGTTTAATATTAAACGTTTTGAAATATTTATTGGTATCTATTGAAAAATTATTAAAATGGCTGATATACTAATTATTTATTTTTATTCTTTACCATTTAAAGCATCTTTGAGAATAATTTGGCACAATTAAACGTGGACCAATTTCAGTTAAACTTGAAAATTAAGAACATAGTTTTTAACACTTAATTATTTTGTTAACGTTCTCCATTTATTTGTTTTATGTTTTTAAGCTGATCATGAATGTTTTGAATGTTTTTTTTGGAAACTTATTTATTTATAGCAAATTGTTAAATGCTAAAATGATTAGCAATATTAAACAAAATTATCGTCTCGCCAACTGCTCCATGTTATTGTTAATTTGTGTTCGAATATCTGGTGTATACCAAACCTATCAAGTTTGGCCAAACGCGTGGTCAACTGATGAACACTGCGTGATTATGTTTGGATTTGATGGCTCTCTATTATCGAATATTTGAGACGTCTCCATTAATTAGCGAAAAACACCACTGATCTATTTTGGAATACAGGAGCTATGAGGCTTAGCCGAATGTTTGAATAAGATTTGGCAAAAGGCTTAGCCAAGGTGAGATAATTTTGTAAACAAGAGAAATAGACGTTTGTTATCTCGCTTAGACACAAGTTCAGGGAAGTTGGCATTGTTGTTATATTCGCGACGATTGTCGAACGCCGCTTATCATCTGGGATTAAGGTTCACACGACTTTATCGCCATCCCAGTTGCTTCATTCTAGACGAGACTAGATGCTGCTGCCATTGAATGTGGAGCATTGAAGCTTTCCAGACGTGGTTCAAGAAGTGCTTTATTAATAGAAAGAATTATCAATTGAGTCGGTGAATTATATAAGTTTGGCCCCCAGACAAGCCCCCGGAATATTTCTATTAATAATTATCAATGGTTGATGGTGAAACCCAGACTTATTTTGCTTTGTCTGCTTAGAAAAATCACTAGGTAAGTGCTTCTGAACTTACAGTGCTAAGATTTTATTAAAAAATGTCGCTAAAATAGCCAAGAGTTTGACTACTAAAAATTGTTTAACCAAATGCAAATTGCTACGCATTAAATATGCCAAAGCCAATTGAATTGAAATTTTAAGTCTAAACAAAGGCATCGCCAAAGCATAAATATCTACCAAGATTTGTACATTCCCTAGTGGGTGCTTTGTTTCTTGCCAGATTTATCATGTGGCGATCGTATTATAACGCTGCGTTTTCTGAATGGCTATTCCATTGATTGGCCATCCAATTTGCATATATAATTTATTTGCAATTGTTGTGACATTTTGCCAGCCAGAGCCACTGACGATTGCGCAAAGTGCCTCCGCCAGACAGGTTGTCGTTGCCGTGGGAACTTGTCGCGGAATCTCCGACCTGAAATCTCGGCTCGTCCCGCTCCCTTTCTCCCGCCCTCCCCGCCAACTTTCACTGAGCCAGTGCTTCCTTAATTAAGTCATCTTAATGGGTAACTGGGACTCGTGGTTATCTGCGGCCAGACAATGGCTTAATCTGCCAGCTAGATCCCAGTAAACGGGCCGGGTCCCCGGGCGCACCTTCCTCCAATTAACCAGGCAGCCGACTTCATTTACCTACTTAAAGAGTAAAAGTTTAGCCCCAGTCGCTTGGCCTTTTGGCTGACAAACTGCAGCGGCAATGGAGGCCGTACTCCTATTTCCAAATGCCATTTTGCCGGTGGATCCGTTGGCCGTGGTGCTAATGCCCCCGACTTCTAGTTCCCCTCGGCTAAGCCGCCCCTCGACTTGTCACGCTGCCACCGACTCCGAAGTCGAATCACTGAGGCTCTCTCTCTGGGAAAACCGGTTAACTGGTGGCCGGTTGGCTGGCAAATGAAATCTCTATCTGCCCGGGTTCCATAATTTCACGCCAGTCTGCACTGAGCCGCACCGCTCGATATGTCCAATTTGTGCTGGAGCCCGGCAAATATTTGAGAAAGTCCACCCACAACGAAAACCAGTCAGCTTGGTAGGCCTCTGCACTTAAGAAAATAATTTAGAAAATTTTGTTTTCAAAATTCAGATGTTACATTTTTAGGCACTTACAAATCTTTCAGTTTTTAGAGCCTGAAAAACACCATGGCCGACAGACAAGAAAAACCGCTCAGGCCCGTAACGAAGACGGAAGATCCGATTATATCGCAGATCGGCGACTTCCGGCGCTACCAGTTGTTCTTCTTCTTTCTGATCCTATTGTGCAAGTTCGGCACCGGCTGGCACACACTTGGCCACATCTTCCTGGCCGCCCCCACGCCCCAATCCTGCACCACGCCCAATGTCACGGATCCGTGTAGTCACGATTGCTGGGACACCGAGTTCGACACCAGCGTCTTCAAATCCACCATCATAACCGAATGGGATCTCACGTGCGACAGGAAACAGCTGGCCAGCTTGTCCCAGTCCATTGTAATGCTGGGTGTCCTGTGTGGCAGCTTGATTTCTGGCATGCTTGCCGATCGGTGAGTATATTACTTTCAATCACAAAATAAATTAGATAAAAGACAGTCGCCTCTTTGCTGACTTTCTAGTTGGGAATTATAAATATTACTAAAGCATTGAAATACTTAAACCAATTTTACATAGTTTCCGAGGTCCATCCTTTCTTTTCAAAAATGTTTCAAAATCACGTTTATTTTTAGGAAATCCTATCACTGTAATATTTTAACCTTTAATATTTTAACCTTAAAAACAATTTTTTATGAAACTGAAAAGCTTGTTTATAAAGACATAAACATACAATGCTCTCCTTAAGTCGTTTTATGATTATCTTATTTTTTTAACATGTCTTTTTTTTCCAACTCGAGAAAGAAATGAAGACACAAAGATTCAAAGTTTTACACATTAGAGCGATTGATGTTTATTAACTTTTTAATAGGCAAACTATCGCTTTTCAATAACGGGAAACGAAAGAAAATTTAATCCAAATTTATAATAAATCCTTTAATTTGTAACCCCCAGAGTTGGAAGACGTCCTGCTTTCCTGACCTCCTGCTTCATGCAACTGATCACTGGTCTGATCGTTTGCGTGTCGCCCTACTTCTGGTTCTACTGCTTCTTCCGGTTTCTGGTGGCTGTGGCCACGGCGGGAACGATGACCACCAGGTGGGTTCGGAAGCACTGCCTCAGAGATCGTCCTCAAATGTATACTTAATTGCTCCCACCCGCAGCTTCGTCTTGCTTATGGAGATCGTGGGTCCGAAGAAGCGCGAAATGGTGGCCATTTTCTACCAGCTACCCTTCAACATCGGCCACGCCTCCCTGGCCGTGTTCGCCTACTTTATCCGGGAATGGCGCTGGTTCCAGTTCAGCATCACGATCTTCTCGGCCGTGTTCGTGATCTACATCTGCCTGGTGCCGGAATCGCCGCGCTGGCTCTTCACCACCGGCAGGGTGGACAAGTCGATCAAGATTCTGGAGAAGATCGCCAAGTGCAACAGGGCGCCGACGGAGACAGTGCGTCCGGAGATCGAGGCGGCCTACGCGGCACTGGCCGCCCGTCAGCCGCTGAAGAAGGGCACCATGCTGGACCTCTTCCGGACGCCCTTCCTCCGGGTGAAGACCATCTGCATGGCCAACAACTGGCTGGTGGTCTGCATGGTCTACTACGGCACCGCCCAGTACGTCTCCAAGCTGGGCGGCAACATCTTCGTGAGCAACCTGATCGCCGCCGGAGTGGGTGTCCCGGGCACCTGCCTCTGCGTCCTCATGACCAAGTTCCTGGGCCGCAAGAAGACGCTCCTGATCTCGAACGGACTGAGTGCCGTGGGCCTGATCCTCCTGGCCGCCCTCTCCGCCCAAGGTGACTTGGTTAAAGTGGCCTGCGCCACCATCGGACTCTTCGGGGCCTCGGTGACCTTCCCCAATGTCTATCTGTACGGCGGAGAGCTCTTCCCCACGGTGGTGCGCTCCAACGGAGTGGGTCTCTGCTCGATGATCGGACGGATAGGCTCCATTCTGGCCCCGCTGATCTGCGATCTGGATTCCTTTGGCCTCTGGATAGCGCCCCTCATCTTCGGACTGTTCTCCATTCTGGCCATGATCGGCACCATCTTCATTCCGGAGACAAGGGGAGCTCCTCTACCGGAAACCCTCGAGGATGGAGAGACTTTCGGTCGCAGTAAGAAGGCGCTAAACTAGACCATTTCGCGCTGTGTAACAAATCGGTAAGGCGAGAATTCATAATTTTCGAGCCCAGCCAAACCATTAATGCCTGGGCTCCAAAATTTATTAAATTTCGACCTTAGTTGCGATTTATGCGATGCGATATGTCAGTCAGCGCGCGAATTGCCGTTCGTGCCGCAAACAAGAGGCGAAAAAAATTGAAAAATCTAGCGAATGCAAAAGGTAATTACCGCGGAGTAACTTCCACTTCGTGATTATTAAAACTGGGTTAGCAGTCTGAATCCAGCCTTAATGTCGAGGTGCAAAGCAGCCAAATAGTTAACTGGCAGTGTTCAGCAAGCCCGCCAAGCGACTGGGAATGCAAACTTCGCATGTGAACCCAATCGATAGCAAAATAGCATGGAAATTACACAGTCGAAACCAAGGAGGATGTGGGAACTATTTCTTAAGCCAAACTACATCTCTCAAGTCATCTCCAGCCATAACCGAAGCTCTTAAACTGGAATATCCCTCATCAGTCTCTTTAAGTCTAGATCATTAAGTTCGGTAGTACAATTAATTGTTTTGTAGCATTGACTTATATCGCAAAATCATTTTTCCAATATGTAAGTAATTTAAGAACAAATAAATGGCATTTTAGCATTTCATTTAATAAACCAACTCGACTGCAGAATCGATTACACACATCAGCGCGAATGACTTTCACAGCGATTCCATTAGGTCGACTCCAGTCGACGATGCCCATGGCAATTATCGGCAACTTCCACCATCTCATCACACCATCTCCACATCCTCTGGAATCGGGAGGATGGGATGACCTTGGCTGGGCAAAAACCGGCTGGAGCACCACTCAAGGTTAATATTCATTGTCAACATTAGGTACGCCTCATTTGTATGCTGCTCTTGGCTCGCGCTCTCATTCCCTTTTACACACAGAAAAAATAGGTCAGTCTTCAGCTGATACTAATAGTTTACATTTATTAAAGATTTATTTTCTCTTTGTAAAATTAAACAAATATTTATAAGTCTTACTCTCTTATTTCTGCTCTGTTAACAAAGTAAGACAGATAACTTTATTGAATTCTAGACATATTTCAATTCACAGCTAGTTCGGAATGCAATTTTCGTACTGCGATTAAATTCATTGCAGACTGTCTCGTCCTCTTTTTTTCAATTTTCTATTTTTGTTCTCATAATCAAAATTTGTTTCAGTGCATCTAGACGTCAGTTGTCGGCACTTGGCAACATAAAGCGGGCCTCATCCTTCGACGTTCCATCGCCACTCAGCCCGGAGCTGCAGTTGCATTTCGGAATCGGACTGAGACTGAGTCTCAAATTGAAGTCCAGAATGGGCCAAGTTTTTAGCGTCATCGGCGCTGGCAGCTTGTCATGTCAGCCGAACGCAAACTGTCAGAATTCGAGGAGAGCGGCCAGTGGCGGGCATTCGCATCGCAGGACCGACTGGCGGTGTCGCATACTTAATCAGCGGCGGCGCGTCTTAGTGATAATTACCGGGCATTTTTGCAGCTCCCCAAAGCCGCCCGCTGATGTTGTGAGATGTGGCCAAATGAATGGCCTCAGCGGCTCCACTGTAGTCACTCGATGATTATTCATTGTCCTCGGTTCAAGTAGATCCCCCAGTGCTCCTCCCACACCGCTTCCATCGACTGTGAGCAATTTGTAGATATTCTGGTAGCCATCAAGGAACAACAGGCGACATAAAAGTTAATTGCCTGAGTACCAAAATAAGACAAAAGCTCTAAGGCAATCGAATGTACAAAACAAGCGGACTATGAAACACCTTCATAAAACTGTTGCATATTTTAGGTTTACTTTATTCCGATGGTATATGTATTTTTATAAATTGGTCTAGAGCCATAAATTACCATCTGTAAATCAAAACCTTTCAAAGGTTTCATTCTAGCAATTGTATATGTTTGAAATTATTATCACTTACGATTTTTCCCACGCCACACATATTATCGCTGTGCATCCGTATTTTTTTAAGCGTTCAGAATATAACATTTTTATATACAACAAAGTTTTAACTCCTGGGGCATAAGCTTGCATATATTATGACAATATGATATTTAATACTGTTACTGCAACATGATTAATTAATTCAAGCAATTATAATATCAACATTTAAAATAAAATTAAATATTAAATAATATTATGTCACCAGTCAGGTAAAATTCCTTAGAGCAACTGATTAAATTTGGCTGTCAAATTTCTGTAACATAAAATCGACAAGAAAGCTTAATGAAATTTTCTTAATTATGAGGCGGCAAAGTCCTGTCAAGAACCAATAAAAAATTATCAAAGGGTACAAAAAGACATCTTTCGCGGAAATGACTAATTTAAACGATTAACAAAAGGCTAAAGACAGACCAAACAGGGTTATAGATTGCTATATTGTGCCACACAAAAACGCGACACTTGAGCAGAGTTGTAAAGCCAAAACTGCCACTCAAAAATGCACAAGCCCCAACCTTTTGGCCAACAAACACATGGCAAATTTGCCGGGCCAAAACCGCAGACAGGCAAAAGCGGCAGAAGCAGCAGCACGGAGACAAAACCCATTTAAGTTCAAAGCAAGCCAACCGACAAGACGATCATTATCTGAGCCGCATATCTATTTGCGATTACCGAGGAACTGGCTGTGAGCCTGCTCCTCAGCAGATGAGCACGAGGATGATGATGAGGTTGAGCATGGGGATGAGGATAAAGGTGAAGATGAAGTCGGTCTGAATCGTGGGAGTTTGGGATCTCAGACTCCAAGGCGGTGTGGTGGCAACGTGGGCGCATTAAACAGGCAAATGTCAAAATGACGCGCTTTGTTGTTTATCATATTTACCGCAAGCCCGGGAAAAAAAGAGATTGGCGGACGACTATGACTATGACTATGAGCCGGGCCAAATGCAATTAGTATTCAAATGTGGACGCGCCAGCGAGCACGACGCCAAAACGAGTCATCATCATCTGCCAGTGAGACGACACTTGGACTTGGCTTTGGACTTGGTCTTCGTCTTGGTCTTGGGCCTGGTTCGGGATCGGTATCGGGATGGGGCCAACTTCTTTGGCCACAAAGGAGCCGGCTCTTTACATGCTGAAAAATGCCTAGGCTTTTGTGGCTCACAGTTCGCCGTAATTTAGCGCACGCATTTTGCATTTTAAACGCGAGCAGCGAACGGCGACGACTTCTGATTAATTCCTCAGCTGGGCGCTACAAATTCGTTTGACTAATTGCGACCGGAGGGGGATGGGAATGGAAATGGGAGGGGGGATGGAAATGGAAATGAAAGCGGTAATGGGAGTGGGTATGTCAGCCAGGGGATTCCGCGGAACACCTTATCGGCCGCAATTAAACGTGCCGTCGTCCAGTCCACCGATTTAATGTATGATTTCTTTCAAATCATATCTACGTGACTGTGACTCAGCCTTATCAGCATGGGCAATTCCCCAGCTCCAGTTATCCACTAAGAAAAAACAGGTATCCAAAATGGTATTCAAAATAAAATTAAACATATCAAATAAATGTGTATTATAATTGATCAATGGTGTCAAATAATATTGTATTGTTTGAATCCATACAGAGTACTACATGAGGTTTAGTAAAATCACATTAATTTAAAATAATAAAATAAATCACAATTTCAGAAATAGTTCTTAGATATACTATTACTTTTAACATATTACAACAAGAGGTTCTAAAATAACCACAATGGTCACATTTACCATAAAATCCCTAAAAAAACACTATAAATTCATAAAGTATTTAATTATAATTCTTTAAGAATCTCCAAATATGTTTGTGCTTTAAAATTAGTAATTGATATTGCTAGGTTTCTTTCACTGCACATCTGCAAACTCATTAATGACAAAATCCCCGGGCGGCCGGCCTCTCAGATGATTCAATATGGCCGCTAGTTGCATATTAAGCAGCCAGGCTCATAATCGAATATGGCCACAGCCTCGACCAAGCTGAAGCTTTCTGTTATATAACCATAAAAAAGGCAGGCTACCAGACAAAAAGTAGGAACAACAAAAAAACACAAAATGTGTCGTGGGCGCTATCAAGTGACAGCTCTGTGGATCCAAAAAGTTGTAAAATTAACAACCGAGTTATGACAACTGCCGGCAATTAAAATTGACAATTGATATGACAGGCTTTAGGATAGCAGGACGCGGGGAAGTGAATAAAAAATGGCCAATAAAAATGAATACGTCGGAGTGTACAGAATGAATCTCCCGGGAGTGACTAGATTCAGAATGGAGAACGCTTATCAACAATACAATGAAAGCGGAATTAGGTAGTTTTTAACGAGAAAAGGTTGTGCAAGTAAAATATAAAATATTGCCTAACAAGAAACTAGAACTAGATCTACCGATTGTGTATAAAAAATAAAGTAAAATCTGGCGAGGAAAAACAAATGCTTTGTTGTGTGTTGTTAGGAAAGCACATTATATAATATTTTTCCTGGTCATAAACTAGGTAGTTGACTTTTAGCTATCTTTCATTGCAAATACGATTGCAGCTCCATAGCTTTTAATTGCGGCCTCCGTCTGACGATGTTGGCCGAAAGTAATTGCTGCAATTTTGGTAAAAGCGACAGATCGCGTACTGCGGCCAGATCCGTTGCAGCGACAACCGTTTTGGTTGCACAAATATGACAATCGTCGACATTATTAAAATGTGCTACGTGGGCTAAATCTGCCGACATCAGAGAGCGTCCGAAAAGGGCAGAACGACACACGGCAGGGCCAAAACAGGTGGGCCACGATGTTGGCCAGGTTAGCAGCCTTTAGTTGGTGGGAACACCACCCGACATTTGCTGATAGCACACTCAATTTGCATTCGAGTGGAGCTGGAGAAACGTTGGTCGAAATCAAGCGGAATGACTGCCAGCCAATTAGTTTTTATAACTTTCTAGCTGGCACTTCAATCTCGACCAGTAATTAGTTGGCCAAAGAGTTGACAGGTGGTCCAGGTGCGTGGGCGACAAAGGGAACCGCACACATTAACATAATGTTATGAGAGGGCTTTAATTAAAAAACCCAAAGCACAACCCTATTATTTCTCGGCTTCCTCCTTCCCTTTTTTTTTATTTTTTGCCTGCCAGCAATTCTCGACAAAGTCGTTGGCCATTCCATGTGTGCGCTCCTTGAAGCATTTAAGGCTGGCCATCCGGCACAGACAATTAAAAACCCTCTGCAGCCCTGCCATTTGCCATTTTATAAGCACAGATTACAGCTTTACGTATACGTAACGCACAAGAAGGGGCAGTGGGGGGGTTAGAGGGGTAAGTAAGGGGAAAAGAAGGGGCGGGACGGGGACTTCCAGCCAGGACACACAACGTGGTCCGATAAGCGGTGAGCACTAGGTGGACTCCTCTCCTAACGCCGAATTCAGTAATGCTAACGAAAAATTACATCATCAAGTACTGAACATTTCTTTTGCAAATTGGATCCAATCTGTAACAATTTTTACAAATAAAATACAATTTCAAAAAAATTATTAGGAAAAAAAATTAATATTTATATTTAATTATTTCTTATACAACTTAAAATGGTAAGGAACATGTGCTGACTAAACCATTCTTTTTAGAACTCCAAGCACTAACTTTTCCATATTTTTTTTCGCTGTTTTAAGTAC